TATATATATATATATAAACTACTTCCCAATTTAAGGTGTAGAATATTTTTATGTATGTTCGTTTTCTATTGATAATTATAAGATATATATTTATTAATTCAAGTAGTGTAACTAATTCATTCAAAATTTAAAATTCAAAATAAAAATTAATTAGAAAAGTAGTTTTTTTATCTTAATAATGCTATTTGGTTTTTTTTATGGCTAAAATACTTATTTTAATATAATGCTTTTACTTCTTCTACTCGATATAAAAAGATGATAAATTTATATTGAGTGTCATAGTGTCCGAGGGCAGAATCATGTCACCGCCCCCGGATACATCCTCCCAGTTCACTTTTTGCCATTTCCAAAATGGTGAGGGGTTTGCACAATTAAATAAGAAAGCACCAAACGTGTCGAGTAGAGAGTAAAATAGCAAGACGAGACAGTTTTTAGCATCTTCATCTCCACGTCATATAGAGACACGTGTTGTGTTTTCTGGGATGATCAAACTTCAGATATTCTGTCCTAAGCGTCAACTTGATGTTTGACAAATGTGGTCCCCACTCTCTTTCCTAATATCTCCGTTTTGTTACGTAGACGCTTTTAGTGTTTCACAACTGGAGTGATACCAAAGAATTAATTCCAACAATTAGCTTCTATTCCCACTTGCAAGCTTTTTGTTCGTGTTTCTCACGCTTCCCTTGGCTGAGTATCTTAGTAGGCATTTGGACATAAGAATTGTAAAATTTTAAAAAAAATATAGAAAAAAAATTCAACTGAAAATGATGTTTGAAAGTTAGAATTTTGTTTGGACGTGAATATAATTTTTTGAAGTTTTGTGAGTGGTATGGGTGAAAATTTTGAAAAATATCTTTTTGAAGTTTTTCAAATTTTCGAAAAATTCCAAAATTCATCTTCAAGTGAAAATTTAAAATTTTATGGCCAAACATAATTTCGAAAAAAAATAAAAAAAAATTCGGAAAAAAGTAAAAAAATTCTTATGTCCAAACGCGCTCTTAATTTATTTGAATAATGTGAACAATTTTATTACTCCTAGTTCACAACGTAATATCAACCCAAGACGTTACATATGAATAGTACTTTTTCCGTCCTAATTTATATAGCATCATTTGATTAAAATGCAGAGCAGAAAAGTGACATAATTTTTTTTTAAATTTATCGTCTAAATTAGCCTAATATATTTGTGTGGTGGTAAGCCACCTAATTAAGGATACAAAGAGTATTTTAATGTTAAATTATTTTTGAACATAGAAAGATGATATTCTTTTTTG